TAATAAAGTGGAAAATTAAACTTTTTCAATTTAGCAATCAAACCTTCATGCCAAACACTGTCGAATGCTTTTTCTATGTCTAGAAGAGCAACTCCAGTTGAGCAGCCTTCAGATTTGTTTGAACGAATTAAATTGGTAACTCTTAAGAGTTGATGAGTAGTTGAATGCCCATGGCGAAATCCAAACTGCTCATCTGCAAAAATTGAGTTTGTATTGATGTGAAGCAATTTAAAATTATCTTTTCAAAAAGTTTACTTATTGAAGAAAGCAAACTTATTGGACGGTAGCTAGAAGCTTCAGCTGGATTTTTATCCGGCTTCAAAATTGGAACAACTTTTGCATTTTTCCATTTATCAGGAAAGTATGCCAAATGGAAACATCTGTTAAATAATTTTACCAAGAAAGACAAGGTACTCTCTGGGAGTTTTTTGATGAGGATATAGAAAATTCCATCATCACCTGGAGCTTTCATATTTTGAAACTTTTTAGTTATAGACCTTACTTCGTCCAAATCAGTCCCCCAGGAATCATCAAAAATATTTTCCCGAGAGAAAATATTCAGATAAGACCCGAGCAACCTGATTCTCAATAGGACTAGTAAGGCCCAAACTGAAATTATGGGAACTCTCGAATTGCGTAGCAAGTTTCTGAGCTTTTTCCAAATTTGTGATCAAAATTTTACCACCTTCTTTAAGCGCTGGAATTGGCTTTTGAGGTTTTTTCAAAATTTTTGTGAGTTTCCAAAAGGGTTTGGAACTCGGGTCTAATTTAGAAACATTATTTTCAAAAGTTTTGTTTCTCAGGGAAGAGAATCGCTTTTTAATTTGTTTTTGCAAATCCCGCCAGATAACTTTCATGGCAGGATCGCGTGTTCTTTGATATTGTCTCCTACGGACATTTATAAGACGGATCAAGAGCTGAAGATCGTCGTCTATTATAATTGAATCGAATTTAACCTCGCATTTTGGTACTGAGGCAGCTCTTGCTTCAACTATGGAAGTAGTCAGAGATTCAAGAGCATAATTAATTCCATTCAGCTCTATGGTAATTGAAAGTAGAGCTGTTGGGATAAGAAATTATTTCTTGAGATATTTCAAAAGTTACTGGAAGATGATCAGAACCAAAGTCAGCATGGGTAATCAATTGGCTGCAAAGTTGTCATGAATCAGTTAAGACCAAATCAATAGTTGAGGGATTTCTTGCTGAAGAAAAGCATGTTGGACTGTTTGGATATTGAATAGTGTAATGACCTGCAGAACAATCACCAAACAGAATATTACCAATGGAATTGCTTTGAACATTATTCCATGAGCGGTGTTTTGCATTAAAATCACCAATAATGAAGAATTTAGACCTATGACGGGTAAGTTTCCGAAGGTCACCCTTGAGAAAATTCTTTTGCTGGCCTTTGCATTGGAATGGCAAATAGGCAGCTATAAACGTAAGTTGTCCAAATTTTATTTCAACAGAAACGCTCAAAGTTTCAAAAACTTTGGTTTCAAATGAAGAAAGTATTTTGTGTTTGATTCGTCTATGAATAATGATGGCAACCCCACCACAGGGTCCATCAAGACGATCATTTCTATAAATGAAATAATTTGCGGCCTTCTTAACCTTATGGTCAGGTTTAAGGAACGTTTCAGTTATAACGGCAATATGCACGTTATGAACTCTCAAAAAGTTAAATAGCTCGTCTTCATTATCTTTAAGAGATCGAGCATTCCAATTTAAAATATTAAATGCTTTAAAATCCATTTCTGAATTTTAAAGTCATGACAATATTATTTGCAAATTTTACTCCAGTTTGAATAGCATCAAACATGGAGTTAGGTTTAAGCATATCAGAAATCATATCAATTAATGATTTCTGCAAAAATTCCATTTTAGGGGCAGTAATGCTTCCTAAGTGAAAATTGTCAAAATTTCCGTTAGAATTACGTTGGTTTGTATTTTGATTTCTACCCGCTGCAATAGCAGCATAGGTAGCTCCATTAACTCGCTGAACATTGTTAGCAGCGAGGGAAGTAGGCATAGATGAAAAATTTGAAGCAGAGGTGATATTTGTACCTACGGGTACGAATGTAGAATTTGTTCCTCACTGACCGTTGTTAACAGCAGAGTAATTTGTACCTGGTCGGAAACGTGGAGCGTTTCCTACCTGTCGCGTAGAACGAGGTTGAAGGATCGCTTTGCGAGTCTTACATTCCCAAAAATTGGACATTTGAACATTTAAATTTCTTATGATCTTCCTTAACAGAACAGTCGTCCTTTGCGTGAGAGGAATCACCACAATTCATGCATTTAGCTGGCATGTAGCAATTTTTAGTTCCGTGACCCCATCCCTGGCACTGGGTGAGGTTTTGGAAATTTCCTCCAGTCTTCCTGAAGTGTTCCCACTTCACTCGGACATGGAGCACAAGGCTAGCTATTTCCAAGGCCTTAAGGTTGTTTACTTCACTAGACTTGAAGTGAACTAAATAAAAATCATTAGAAATTCCGTTGCGCGAATCGCCAGGACGGGATTTCATTTTCATTTTGATTACTTGGAGTGGCACAAATCCAAGTAATTTTGCCAGTTCATCTTTGATCTGATCCAGGGATTCACCACTGGGCAGTCCTTTCAGGACAACCTTGAACACATGTTCAGTTTTAGTGTCGTAAGTAAAAAATGTGTGCTTCTTCTCAGTAAGATACTTGAGAAGACATTTAAATCCCTCCAAGGTTGTAGCCAATACACGGCATTCACCCCGACGTCCAATTTGTAGTGAAAACTTAACTTTCACGAAATTCAAAAGTTCCATGCGAAGAACATGGAAATCGGAAGTGGTTATCACAATAGGGGGAATCTTTTCCTTCTTGGCATTAAGTCGGGAAAGTTTACTAGATTTTTTCTTGGATGATGGATCATTCTCATCATCCGTGAGCAAATCAAATTGATTACTCAAATTAATTTCATCAGAAGGGGGGTCAAGAGTTTGACCCTTTCTTTTGCGTTTAGGTGCCATGGCGGCAGTAAATTTTTATCCAAATCGACTTCCAAGCAAATTACTATAAGAATCTGAAGGATCGAAGTTGAATTTTCCAAATCGATATCCAAGAAGGATTACCACGGGTAGTGTCCAAAAAATAATCGAAGAGGAATAAGAGTTGAACAAGGTAGAAATTTTACAGGTTGAGCACTGAAAAGTGCTGTTTAAATTTGTTGTAGCTTTAGGTAGTAGTAACACTTCCTTAAGCAAAAAGCAAATAGATCCGCACGGCAAGAGAGCCCGATGCGGACTGGGAGCTAAATTTTCTTCCCCCCCACATCTCCATCTACGCATATGAGATAAAACTATTGTTTTTCAATAATTCATCTGAACATACCAAATGGAAAAGATGTGAAACTCCGAAATTATTTCAGTTTGATATCTGCCTTCCCTTGTTACACCGGCAGTGTTGGCAGGAAAAGTGATTTTTGGCATTTAATTCGAAATAACAATTTTTGAACAGCTATAACTTTTAAAGATACGGCGCCGGTGGTGTAGTGGTAAGCGTGATTACCTCTCACCCCAGCAGGCCTGGGTTCAATCCCAGTCGGCGCCGCCGGGATGTTCTGAGGCATAACATCTCTGATCACGCCTTCCTTCGGATGGGAAGTAAAGCCGTTGGTCCCCGGTTCATGAGTTGATGGGTCGATAGGTAGGGTCCAGGTGTGGGAGCTGCCTTCCTGGCACGTCGGTAGCATTGGTGCTCAGCACGGAAAACAAGATCGACGGAAAAAAACAAACCAAAAGGAAAAAAAAAAAAAAAAAACACTCTAGCACCGTACATCTGTTGGCAAAGTTATTAGGCACTTCATGAACTATACTTTAACGTGATTAGTGGCATGGTTCAAGGTAAAGTGTGGTCCCTAGGAATAAAAATTCAAAAAGTAGGTTTTCCCATGCAAATTTCCATACACATTTCAAACGCAATGCGGAAAGCCGTGTTAAAAGCAATCATTTCCAAACTTGGCACCGTTTTTTGGGACCCCAAATGGAATCAAAAAAACATTGTTCTGAAAAAAATGATCATGATGACCCACTCTACTGTACAATTCTCTATTCACCTCGAAACGCCACACTTGATTCCGTGTTGTTATAGTAGGCGTTGAATATACGATTTACATGCTTCAAATTGCATAGCCGGCGTAGAGTAACGTCTTATAGTACGTTCAGACTACAGAGTTATAACATGTTATAGCGCTATCTTGATGGTGATCTCTGTGTTGCAATTATTTGACAACCGTTATAACATGTTATAACTCTCCAGTCTGAACAAGGCATTAGCAATGATCTAATTACCAAGGTTAAAACAAACTTCACAGAAAAACACAAGTTGAAATGAAGCCGGATTAGACATCAGATCTTATTATTTTGGACTTCGCACCAGACGACCTCAAAATAATCAAGACGTATTCCAGGGAAAAAGCTCATCAAAGTTTCATTCAACAATCGCATTAAAATTTCACCCAGCCATTGAATTACTAATTGGATTCGCCATCCGATTTTTTTTTCATTATTTTTTTTTCACTCCGCCTTCGAGAATGAAGATAAATTATCCTTAGTAATGACACTTTCATCAAAAGGTCAGCCTTTGATGAATAACTGCTGCTGCTGCTGCTGCTAGGCATTCTGAAGAGAAACTTTCGAATGAGGCCAACCGACAAAGCATAAGCGAAAATAACCACCTCAACCGGAGCACAGCCACTCCTACTGTTCGGGGTCTCGTCCGTTCTAAATTTGCTTTTTAAAGTCCCGAAAATGTTCGCTATCAAGTTCAGACTACCTCCCACATTGACCTCCTCCCCCTGTACAGTATCGTAATATCATTCAATCTCACTTTATATAAACCTTCGTACCAATTTCCCAACCCCCAAAAGCCCCCCATTTGCCGGCACTGCACTCAGCAGGAAGCATCAGCAACGCCCGCGTCAATTCACTTAAGTACAGAACAAATTTTCCCGTTCTTCTGCACAGCACAAGCATTTTCCCTGTTGTGGTCGTTTACTTTACCACCGGTCAAAAGCAGCATCTACTTTTATTCCGACGGCGACGCCGGCAGTGAAAGCCAGCAAGATTCGAGCCAAGCCGGCGACAACGGTGACGGTGGACATAAGCGCGATGCTCGAGCGGAAATTGAAAACGATAGCCGTAGCGCCAGTACCATTTCAGGTGAGTGGATGGAGTTTGGGTTGGGATGAAGGACACCAGTAGCGACCAACTGTTTATGTAAATTAATGGAAGACGTGATTTTCGTACATTTTCACCAGTGGAATTATTAAGTATCAGATGGATTCTAGGGTGTTGAGATAGAATTGCTAATGAGACATTCCAGCTGACATTTTAAGCATTAGGCAAAACAAGTTTGACACGGTAAATCAAACCATCCATTATAGATCTTTCGTTTTAGTGTGCAGCCGCAATGGAACCGTTAGTGCCATGAACGGTGAGCAAACAAAGTCCTCCGCTGCGGTAGCTGCTGCTGTCAACGGTGACGGTAGCCATAAAAGCCAAGATTCCAACAGCAGCAGGAGAACTTCAAAGGTCCATTTCTCATGCCACCGGGCTGGGCAGCTGATATGGACGCACTTTACTTTGGCGTACTCCAACCTCACCATAGTACAGTGGAGCCTGTGGTGGTCGCTGGCGATGGCCGGTTTCATTCAGGTGCAAGTCTACGTTCAGCTTCTGTGGCAGGAGATTGACCAGGATCAAGAATACCTCTACAATGGCGGGGCGGAAGCTTTGCTGACCTTGTTCGGTGCCATCAGTGCCATTGTGGCCGGTTACGTGGCGAATAGGCTCTTCGAACAGTGGACCCTCTGGATCCTGACCGTGTGCTCTGGCCTGCAGGGTGGATTGATCCTATATTCCGGCTTCTCGACAAATATTTGGGCTGCATACACTGTTTACATTCTGTTCGGTGCGCTGTACATGTTCATGATAACGATGGCCAGGTGAGTTGAGCTAAAAAAAATATGTGGTGTTTAAAAGGGCTGCTGGTGTGGAGGTGGTGCAGAATGGAGATGGAGGGATGTAAAAATGTTTGCGTTTGCGAAAAATTTCCCGGAGGAGAAGCAGCAAGGAAAAGTTTAAAGCTGACATAGTTAACGCGTTTCATGTGAATATTTATTTCATCTGAAGGAAGCTGCCGGTTGCATTGTTCTATGAAATGTATGACCGGTAGCAGGGAAATTTGCTGTCGAGTATTGATGGGGTCAGAGATGACGGAAAAATACACATGTTGTTAATATTAACTGCTGCGATTTAAAGGATTATAATAACGCAGCACACCAACTGATGAACCGATTTTATGTTTCCCTCTCCGTATTAACCACTTCATTCGAGCAGTTAAAATGACGTTTACTACCTCTACTACTCGAACTTTGAAATAAAACATTATTTTGAGATTTTTTCTTCTAGAACCACGTGAAAAGTAGTCAACATTTGTGCGGATACCTAAAAAAAATTGAAATTTGTTGGTCCAGTTTTATGGAATCGCTGGTAGAAAGTCACGCCAAAACTGCTTGACAAAGTGGTCAAGTGTTCCCTGGGGGAAATTTACCAAGTTTGTACCTGAATTCAGTCATCTTGACTCTAGCCTACACACTTAGGAATATTGATGTAAATTTAGGTGTTCTGAGACTGACATATACGAGCGTCAATTTTGACATAACATTGAGTCATAATAGAAACCGCAACAACCGTGAATTTTCGCCTATTTTCACCATGGATTCCTCAAAACATAGTCAGCTTACCACTCATCCTAATACCTGTTCAAATCAGCACATTATTCCGCTTAAGACTATGCGTTCACACATTCGGATAACTGCGCATACCAAAATTAAGGGACTTGTGCTGAGAATGGTCCACATAGCATGCATAACAACACCCCGCTCAAACAATTCACATTCCAAACATCACCGATTGTGATATGAAGCAAATATTCCTCTAAGAAATCTTATTGCTCTAATCCTCGGTAAAAATCCCATTCCTTCCGGATGCATGATACCCAAAATCACAATCGCAAGCCAGAGCGAAAACCCGACCACGTTGGGGTAAATCTGTTATTTACCTAGAGAGCAGCTGACTGTGGACTTATGGCCGGAAAGTCAATGCTCAAGCTTAAACATTTTAGCTGCCAGAATACCATCCGGCTGGAGCTGCTGGATACTGTGCTGTTATTTTTCATCTGATTGCTTCCACGACGGTAGCTGCTACACCGGCGAATCCATCATCCAGCATAGAAAGTTGCAACAACGTTTCGCAAATCTTGGCAAATTCCGAGGCAAATTCCATCGCGCAACCAGCCTCTCAGTCTAAGCTCCGTTTCTCGGATTGCATTCCCCGGTCGAGCTCTTGTTATTAGGGTAACTGATGATGGTTGGACCTATTTAGGCCGGTTTCACACAACGTCAACATTCATGTCGTATTTTTTTTATGAATTCAACATATAATTATAAAAAAAATGCGTGATTAAGGGAAAGATCTACCTTTCTTGTTTCTAATAATAACATAAAAAGTTAAATATTATGAACACATGGTTTTATACAACGTTTTTATTCAGCAAAGAGTTATGATGTCGGTTGGACCTATAATGATCTTGGTTGGAACTAAAAAATGATGATGGTTGGACCTATTTTTGCAAATGCTAGTTTAGCCCATATTTGTTCAAAAACTTTGTTTAGAACTTATTGGTATCATGAAAAAAAAAAACCCTTTTTACATAGCTTTTATGAATTTGCTATTTAAAAAAAATCAAGAAATTTGAGTTTAACTTCGCTTTTAAAAAAGTTCGCTTTCCACGTATTAGCTATTCATCATGGTTCATTTTCTCGGAAATTTTTTAACGTCAAACTATAGGTATTATGATCCCATTGAAAGCTATCGAATATTTTTGGAATCGGTCAACTGGTTCCGGAGATATGGCCGGAACAAGTTCCAGGGTATATGGAACATGTACCTAATTTTGACATGGAAAGAATAAAACCTATCATGCGACACTTTACGACTACATTACTTCCAAATTCGATAACAAGATCAAAAACAAAATTGAGTGCCTTGGACCACATTGGCCTCTTCCGGGCATGTTCTGGGTGCCCCGTGGAATTTGAGGGCTTACAATGACAGAATATCAGAACTTAATTCCGGTTTTATAGTTCTTTTTCTCCTAGGAGTTTTTTTTTTCTCGGAAATAAGTTTCAGTTAGCAATTTTTAGTTTGTTAACATTTTATTTCAAGTTAATTCACACATAGAAGGTGTATGAGAAGTGCTTAATGTAAACTCATATTAATAGATTCTTTCGGCGCTTTCGTGGTAGTTCGGAAATCGGTGGTTACCCTTTCAGCCAACCTGACGATGGAATTCCTCCTTTAAATTTACGCCCAACTAGTGACGCAAGGTCTTTAGCAGCTTCCAAGATCTTTTTGGCCGTCTTGGGACTGCCAGAAGCAGCGCACATACAAACCCAATCCGCTAGCTGGTTCTCCAAATCAACACTCAACACTATTTCCCTTCCATATTTCTTGCCATAGTTTCCCTTAATTTTTGCGCGAAGTGTCGTTTTCGGAATATTGTACCTTTTCTGTGCCTGATACGCGGTAAGTGATTTATTTCTTACTAAAAGAACAGCCTCTGGAAGATTTTCGACCGTATAACTCTTTTCTTTAGCCATTTTTTTAATAATCGAAGAAACTGATCACTCGACCAAAACGAAATCGAATTTCAAATAAGCTGCGCATGAAGGATGTAGACAAACCGAAGCGCACCTAGCGGCCGTCTTAGGAAACACATAGGTCCTACCATCATCATGCGTAGGTTCAACCATGGTCATATTTATCTATTCGAATTTTGTCAATTATTCAAACATTTTAGTGAAACCAATGGATAAATGGCGTACTAACGTGTTGTTACACCTTAAAGCAGTATTTTACTGCATGAAAATAAAAATAAATGTAAAAAATATTCCATTTTTGGATGTTTGACAGTAAGGCATGATGACGAGCTAATGCGTGGAAAGTGAACTGTTTTGAAAACACATTGAAACTCAATTGTTTTGAAGTTTTTTTTTTCAATAAAACACCCATGCAAATTGAAGAAAAAGAGTTTTTTGTGATAGTAAAGTGATCTTTGAAAAAAAAATTAGCGAAGATTGACTGCACTAGCGATTGAAAAAATAGGTCCATCCATCATCAGTTTTTGGATAGGTCCAACCAGAATCAATTACCCTATCTTCTCGGCAAGGAAAACGAAACATTCAAGCTGTCAGAATATCGGGTTGCCAAACATGTAATTATTCACACAAAAAAGTCAGCCCGATGACTGGCACTTAAGGCACACTGAGAAAAAAGTTGCCGCAAAATAAGCGTGTAGAGTGTGCACCCCTTTGGCATTAAGCGAAGACATCATATCAAGAAGACTGGCAACTTTGCCAGCATCTAAGCGACAGATACAGTAGCGCTGCGCTTGAGTGAAGGTGGAAGCAACGCATAGAAAAATGAGCAAATACACAAACCTTTCTTCTGAGGATGTAATCTTTGCTATCAAATTCGTTCGAAGCATTTACCTTTGAGCGGCAGATGACGCGATTGCACCAGTCTCATAGCGTTCGTACACAGAGAACAGACGTCAAAGTTCGGTCAGAAACTTGTGTAAAGTTAAGTGGAAACGTTGCCGTTACGTAGCGCTAGCATCTTCTGATTTCCTCTACAAATTTATCAGTTTCGACCAATTTGGCGCTAGAACCGATAAATTATCTGTTGAAAATTGCCACTTGGCCCTACCAGCACTTTGTGTCTAGTGTAAGTTTTGCAACGTCAGCGCCATGAGGTAGTCAAAGAGGGTTTTTAAGTGGGGAAGTCGCTGTTAGTGGCGCTTAAGTCGAATAGGAATCTTTACACTAGTTTTAAGAGAAATTTTGTTTGAGCCTCAACGTCTGTTCTCTTTGGTTCGTATGAGAAATTGGATGAGTTTCCAGTCTTCTTGATTTGTTTTCTTCGCATTAAAGAACTTGTGGATGCAAATATTTCACTGAATTAAAACAAAATACTTGTAAATTGATTCAGTTGGCGATCAGCTCCAGGCTAAATAAGATTGAAAAAAAAACAAAATTTAAGACTCGACCACAGACAAACAGACATAACACTCGCAAGTTGTTCATCGAACAAGTATTTAACGGACAATTTAAAAATACCGTAGTTACTAGTACCGCCACCTGGGGCGCGCATAGTAAATTCCCTTGCGTTTGACGTTTACACACTACCCTTAAGAGATGAACTAGCCTATGGCTAAAAATCTCTTTAATAAAGAAAAAAAAAAAGTTTACACACTACCGCCATCTGTTCAGCGTAGGGCCCACCACAGTATACTCAACAGATGGCGGTAATGTTTAAGCCACGATGTTTTACAGTGAGAAATATTCAATGTGTTATGTCTGTTTGTCTTTGACTCGACCTTCTCCGATTGCATGAAACTTTGTATGATTATGTGTTGTGGGCAATAGACTGATGCAAAATTTGAAATTTTCGCTCCACAGTTCCTTAACCGGTTCCAAATTGGGTCCTGCTTAACCCCCCAAAATTTGAACTACTTTAGTAAGAAACTGACTTGGCACAAACCATTTCAAGTTTATATGGGAATTTCTATTCACCATAATCAATATGCTTTTAAAAATGATAACAGTGATTGTAGCAAATTTTCTCAGCTACAACTTTGTACAGAACTACTCTTCAAGCAAATGTAAGAAACAAAAGTTATTAATGATTCAAGCCACTAATGTTTTATGATTATGCTCATTCAACTGTTCAGCCGGCAATATTGGTGTTTCTGGTGCGAAGAATAGAGCATAAATATCATGGCTACTATGTCACACTGATGAATACAGTGTTGCCTACAGAACAGCTGCTTGATCATGCCATAATATTCCGTAAGAATAGTTATAGAAATTTTCGAAAAAGCAATATGGAAAATGGGTAGAAGACAATGAACAAAAAGTTTGGTTTTCCCATACCTATTTCCATATAAACTTCGAATAGTTTGTGCCAAGTCAGTTTCTTACCAAATGAGTTTAAATTTTGGTAGGCTAATCAGGACCTAATTTGAAGCCGTTTGAGCACTGTGGAGCGAAAGTTTCAAATTTTGCATCAATCTAATGGGCAATCATTACCATTTTTTGTAAAAATTCGGCCACTTTGGATCTCGTTATTGTTTTCCAATAAATTGTAGCATGAAAACGTCACTTCTGATCGAAATAACGTTTGAAACAAAGCTTTTAAGAAAAGTATGGTAATTCTGGGAAAAATATACACGGTATTATTTGTTAAAGTAAATTTGAGTAAAAATTCGAAAGAGTGTCAGAAAAATGTAACATTTAAGAGTAGGGTTAACGTTCCTATAGTTGCGGTGCGTTAGAAGCATTAGGTTCCTATACTTGTATTCTGAGGCTCAATACACAACTATAGGAACCTAACGCTTCTAACGTACTGCAACTATAGGGCGTTAACCCTTTTTAAAACCATGGACGCTTAAAGCTTTACATAAATCGTAGGCAATTTTAAAATGATCATGGTTTTAAATTTTCCAACAGTTCACATTTTTTATAACTTTAGAATTTGTATTGCTTATTTTGAATGTTTTCTGAAAATTACAAAAGAAAATACCATGTAGGGTAAATGATGCCTTTGGCAACCAAAATTTAAATGTTTATTTCGCTGTATTTTCTCACCAAAATAGGATAAACGCTCCTATAGTTGCGGTACGTTAGAAGCGTTAGGTTCCTATAGTTGTGTATTGAGTCGCCATGCACAACTATAGGAACCTAACGCTTCTAACGTACTACAACTATAGGAGCGTTTCCCCTACTTCACTGGATGTATTTAAATGATTCCATAGTCTTTCGGCTTTTACGACTAAGCAAACCTGTCATATCAGGTTTTTCTTCAAATGAAATCTACAAACTACAAAAAACGGCTTATTTTGAGATGCCAATAATAGAACAGTTGGTTGACACGCTATTCAAATGGAAAGGTTTCCGAAGAAAAAGAGCCGGCCGATAATAGTTACACTCACCCGAGAAGATTGGAGCGTTGTGAAAACGTTTTCAAACCGTTTTTGACAATTCTGTCGATTGGAATGGATAAAATAGCAAGCAGTACATAAATTTAAACAAAAAGGTCATATGTGTTCGTGAAGCTGAGTAAATTCCCCTATATTCTTCTCAGACACATTTTGTCTTTCTTTATTACTTTATCTCAGACGTCAGTTCAATCAGAAGCTACATTTTCGTGCCACTATTTATTGGAAAATGACAAAGACGTCATTGTGATAAAATTACAACATCCAAATTGGCCGATTTTTTGTAAAAATTATTATGATTGCCCATAACACACAATTATGCAAAGTTTTATGCGATTCGGAGAAGGTCGAGATTTGCCGACTAGTCATTTGGCATGCAACTGCTCTGGTCGGATTTTATACGTTTTTTACGGGTTACAGATCAGAGAACTAAATTACAGTTCCACTAATTTTAGGCAAATTGCAAAATCAAGAACTACAAGATAGTGCTGACAACGGCGCCGGTGGTGTAGTGGTAAGCGTGATTACCTCTCACCCCAGCAGGCCTGGGTTCAATCCCAGTCGGCGCCGAGGGGATGTTCTGATGCATAACATCTCTGATCACGCCTTCCTTCGGATGGGAAGTAAAGCCGTTGGTCCCCGGTTTATGACTTCATGGACCCTACCTAGGTGTGGGAGCTGCCTTCCTGGCACGTCGGTAGCATTGGTGCTCAGCACGGAAAACAAGATCGACGGAAAAAACAAACCAAAGGAAAAAAAAAAGATAGTGCTGAGCTCTGAGGATGTTTGAAGATCTTTAAGGATAAGTTCCATGAACTTCAGAAAAAAATTGTGAGCTTTGATGAAAATCAATAATTTTCACTACAATACCCTATGCAACAATATGAAACCAAGTAGCATTGGTACCCAGTACGGAAATGAAGATCGACGGAAAAAAATCAAGGAAACAAAAGTTTTTAGGGGAAGAGGAAAGAACTTCAGAGCAGTTCCAATAAATAATTACAGAATCCTTCAAGAAGCCCCGATAAATTATGGAATATTCCAGAAGGTTCAGAAATGTTCCAAAAAATTTCAGGTGAATTCCCATGTCCTCAGGGAAGTTCTATGAATAATAAAAAAAAATTCTGGAACGTTATACAATTTCTTGAATATTTAGGAAACTTCATACAGTAACGAAAACTTCAGGCACGTCCAGAGAAGTTCAAAGAAGTTTAGAGATTTTAGGGAAAATTCCATGAGCTTCAAGCAATTATGGAAATCTTCAAAGAAATAACGGATTCTTTCAAATCAGTTTACTTTAGGTTCAGAGATCAGTGGGGCAGTTTGAATAACTTCAGGAAAACTCCGAAAACTTCAGAAAAGTTTTGGCTTTTTTTAAGTTTAAAGATCTTTAAAAATTAGTAATTTTGTTTCGTCGCATGAAAAAAGTGTTGATTACAGTTTTATCATCGCCAACCATTCGATCCAGGGATCTTCATAAGGGCTAGTTTAAGTTTCATGACGTTAACTTTCCGTACTAAACAAAAGACGGTAAAACCACCGACAAACAGACATACCTCATTGACCATGTATCACTCTAAAACATCGGTGCATAATCAATACCTCCTTCTGTTGAGTTCACTGTGACTGACAGTATACTCAACAGATGGCGGTAGTGTGTAAACGTTGAACGCAAAAGAAATGACTATTCGTGTCACAGGTGGTGGTACTACTAACTAATGAACATTTAAATTGATCGTTGAATACGTGTTCGATGAACACCTTGCGAGTGTTAGCTCTGTTTGTCAGTGGTACTCGAAGAAGGCCAAGTCCGAATATCGAAAATTAATCATAAAACAACGCAGACCGAAAATAGCAACCTGTGAAAACCATTTCACCTGTATGAAATATTCCCAATCGATAGAACCAAATTGCAACCTTCCTTAGCTCAGTCGATAAAGTCGGAACTACAATGCAAGACCATGCTGAAGATGGCTAGGTTCGATTCCCGCTCCGATCTAGGATTTTTTCCGGTTGTAAAATCTCTCAACTTCCCTGGGCATAGAGTATGATTGTACTTGCCACACAATTATACTAATGCAAAAATGTAACAGGCATCGGAATCTCTCAATTAATAACTGTGGAAGTGCATCTAGAACACTTAGTTGCGAGCACGCACTAAGCTCATATGAAAAAAAACATTAGGCTTGAAATGCGAAGAAGAAGAAGAAGAAGTAGAAGAAGAAGAAGAAGAAGAAGAAGAAGAAGAAGAAGAAGAAGAAGAAGAAGAAGAACCAAATTGAATATGTGAAATCGGCTCAGCAAGACGAAAATTTGCTATGTCTGTAGGTGCGTCTATGAACGCGTTCCAATCGAGGAAAGCTTTCTCTGAGATGGCTTATCCCATCTATATGGGTAATTGATCTTTTGGCGATCTGACTTCCGGTTCTGGAGATAATGGTCTGATAAATCTTAATTACTTTTTTTACATCAATGGCTCACTCTCAGTCGCATCGGCTTCTACTTGTCAACAAAATTTCTTATCGATCAGAACTTCAATGTTGCATTACCGTACACCTGAGCACCCTTTAAAGCGCGAGTATGACCATATTTTACTGTTAAATGTCTTACACTGGTCTTTACGGAGATAAATGGGGTTAAAATCCCAAATAATAAATAAGTTCAGGGAAATTTTTTTATCAAAATTAAGAACACCTAAACACCTCTCAAATCGCGATTAAGGCTATATTTACGGAGATAAACGGGCTTAACGATTTGGAAAACCCAGCTCATGATTTCACGGAGAAAATCAGGGACAGGGAATTTCGAACACCTAATCACCCCTTAAATTGCGATTTGGGACATGTACTCGAAGACAAACGGGTTTAAAGATGTGGAAAACACAAATCATGATTTAGGCCAAATTTAAAGAGAATGTCGAGTATAAACAATTTAAACACTTAAACCCCTAAAATCGTGATAAAGGCCATATTTACGTAGATAAATGACTACGATTTGGATGATGATTAAGCCATATTTACGGAGTTAATTTAGTTTAAAGATGTGGAAACTGTAGAAATCATAATATAAGCCAAATTTACGGAGAAAATTGGCTACACGAAATTCGAACACCTAAACATCCCTCAAATCGCAATTAAGGCCACATTTATGGGGATAAACGGTTTTAAAGATTTGGAAATCCAAATCATGCTTTAGGGCGAATAAGTCCATATTTATGGAGATCAACGGGTTTGTTTATGGTAAAATTTTCGAAGGAAATCAGAGGAAAAAATTCCAACACTTATCACCCCTCAAATCGCGATTTAGGATTTTTGGAAAACCGAAATCATGATTTAGACCAAATTTACATGAGAAAATCGGGTTAACAAGTTTCGAACACCAAAACACTCCACAAATCGCGATCAAGACCAAATTTACGGTAAACGGGTTTTAAGGATTTAGGTAAATTAACGGAGAAAACCAGCCGTGAATTGTATATGTTTATATGTAGATTGAAGCTTGTAGGAGAAAAAAAAATAAATGAATGGGGAAAAGTATCGGTAACATTGACGGGTTGTGCATTCAATTCAACTACCTCCCATTGACAGAACTAAATAGCAAGGAAAGCCAACTCTCAATTATACAAATTACCGCTCGTGACACAAACATCATGCACTCCAATCACTTCCAGCACCCTCCAGTCTCATGCAGAGCTAACATTTTCAAAAACTGTTATACAATTTTAATTAAGGTTTTATTTTTCTTCCATTTCCGGAACTGTTCACGTTTTTTTTTCATATTTGCCTGAACGCGCTGCACCATTCGAATTTCGCTCAAACACACACACGCTGGCACCTAAAATCGGCGTTACCATTAGTGCAACCGTGGCCAAATATCTGCAACAGGACAGCTTTGGATTAATTTTCGGCATAAATACGTTTGTCGCGTTGGTCTTCCAGTCCATCCTGACCGTGGTGGTTATTTCCGAGTCGGGCCTGATGCTTTCGCCACGAGGCCAGTTCAAAGTTTACGGTGGCTATTTCCTGGTGTTGGCGGTGGTGTATTTCGTGCCGGCAACTATTAGCAGCGTGCGGCATTGCAGGGCCGGTGGCAGGACGCAGGCCACTTTTGGCGACGAGGGCAAACAAGTTGATCATGCCACAGGCGGAGGTCAGCGCCAGTCGGATATTGTGAGTACTCATTTTTAATTGCCTCGGGAAAGTGTTGTTGGTAGTTTGTGTAGCAATTAGTTTAATGGCGTGTATTATTTACGATATCATGTAATAAATTCATCAAATATTAAAAAAAAATATGCGCTGAAATTTTTTTGACGAATGTGAGAATATTTGGTATGTAATAAAATAAAATAATGTTAGCATACTAGAATTTGCTTCCCTTTGATCATTTAAAGCCTGAGAATGAGAACATAGCTCGAATGTGTTGACGTCATCAGTATTGAACCCACTATTTGGTTTGAAGTATTTCACTAAAGCAAGCACTACACGGCAGAAATATTGTCAATACTCGAAAGTATTGACCATCATATTGATGCAAATGTTGACGACGAATATATTGATGGGTATATTGACAAAAATCAAAAAAGTTTTCATTTCAGTGCCAACATTTCAAAGGGGCGTAATTGCTTTTGTAAACAATGGCTTTAGCCTCGATTTCTCGCAAATAAAAGCCCACCCCTTCAAATTACCAATGCTAGCTGGGACAGGAAACATTAATCTACCTGCTGGTGTCATTCATTTTCATGAGTGAGCTTTCATTCGCGAGAAATCGAAGACGAAAGTCATTGTTTACAAATGCAATTACGCCCCTTTGAAATGTTGGCACTGATTTGTTTATAGACGCCGACTGAGGTTCTAGAACGGCGTGAAGCTGCTCGGCTTCAACAGAAAAAGCATGCTACACTGAACGAAAACATCCACAATTATTTGAATGATTATTGCATTGCTCGAGCCTTTTAACAATATGCTTTAAAGTTTTGGATGATTGCCGTTTTATTGAATTCGTCATCAGCTGATGAGCATCTATATGACTGTCATCCAAATAAAGGATGATCTTTAGTTGATAATTGGCTGTAAAACATACAGCGCTCAGAGGACAACATTTTAAGCAGCGATCTAAATTCTTGCTCAGCTGCAAGATAAGTTACGCATCACTCAAGCTGCTATTCGCAGCGTTAAACAATAGACTATATTTTCATTTCTCACTCTTCAACGATTATTCATTTTCCTCTTCCATCCAAACGATGAAAATTCTCAAATTCGATGTGAACACTTTTTCATCTCCCATTGGATACCGAAAATATTCGATAGTGTTTCTGGAAACCGAGCAGGAGTGCAGCATCTGAGCGTTTAAATCATTTAAACTAATTTAAACAATCATTTAAACAGCCAGGGAACGTTGATAGCACATCACATATAGTCTATTTTACGAAATAACAGGAGCCAGGCTGACAGAATTGGATATTAAGTTCATTCATAAATTGAAAAATCAGCTGATCACAAACATCTCTGTTTATTTGAGCCAACATAGGACCAAAACCTGAGGAAAAGAAAAAGTCACTGTTTTCTTTCGTATGCAATATTTCTAGCGTTCAGAATCATAAGGACCTAACTGCGATGATCGATTTTCTCTTTTGTTAATATCTCGGTGGGTTTAACATTTTTCGGAGCTTTTGATGTTTATTTTGCTAGATAATACATCATTTTGATACACTGTACTGGAAAAATTGGTTCACTTAACTATAGCAATGCGAAGAGAAAATCGATGAAGATAATCGATCATCGCAGTTAGGCCCTTATGTTTCTGAACGCAAGATTTATTCTAATAATAAAAAATGAAGAACGATAAACCAAATGATAGAAGTATACTATATAGAATATATTCCACAAATGGTTTGGATGATACTCGGAACGTATGTAGGGGAAACAGTCCTATTGTTGCGATACGTTAGAAGTGTTAGGAGCCTATTGTTGTGTATGGAGACAGCAATAGGCTTATAACGCTACAAACGTATCGCAACAATAGGACTGTTTCCCCTATATGTATATGTGGCATATATGAGTACTATTTTTCTCTTTAATACCACCACGAATCCAGTCCCGTACTACACAAGATCGGTTTAGTCTGAAGACAGTTAAAAATCGGGTTCTGGGGAAAGTAAAAAAAAAATGCCGAAAAGAAAACGAAATTATCTGCTGTCACTGCCGAGTAAAAAGAAATTATCAAGGCTTATTTTCTTGAACAGGTCCCAGACTACCTCTGCAGGATTCTAAGTATTTACTTCCAGAACCGGGTCCTGGTCTAGGAGACAGACACGGGCAGAAATCGCTTAGGATAACGGCAGGAGTTCCACATGGCTCCATTCTAGGTCCCACGCTGTGGAACGGGATGTACAACGGCGTGCTGACGCTCAATCTGCCCAAAGAAGTCGAGATCGTTGGCTTTGCGGACGATGTCGTCTTGACGGTAACTGGGGATATCCTGAAAGAAGTGGAAATGTTGGCGGCGGAGGCGATAGATACGATTGGTAACTGGATGCAAGGAGCGAAGCTGCAGATAGCCCACCACAAAACAGAAGTGAGGTTGGTCAGTAAATGCAAAGCAGTGCTGTGGGAAGAGCACGCCATTGTTACGAGGCGCGTGCTGAAGTATCTGGGAGTAATGATCGACGGCCGGCTGAACTTCAACAGCCACGTCGAATATGTGTGTGAGAAGGTGGTGAAGGCCAGCAACCAGGCATACCAAAAGTACCGCCTCATGACAGTATTCCAACGGCTGTCGCTTTCTTTTCCCTACGACAGCCTTGAGATTGAGCTATAAGCGACAGCCCACAGTGAGGCTGTTATACGACATGCAACGTTGCCGTCTTGTGCTGTTCACGACAGCTTGTTCTTAGTCATGTATTTTGTTCGTTCGGCTATGACAGCCTCGGATGGTCATTCGTAACTTTCCTCGTACATACAACAAGCAGTCCGTCAAACTGCCGATTCGTTGCTGCTGCCTTTGAAATTTTGTTTGTGTGTCGTAAGACTGCTACTACACTACCAGTGTGGCGCCGGAGCTCGTTCGGTTGCTATCACGTTCGTGCTGCCCATTGCAAAATTTTCATCCGAAATATTTTTTTTAAACGCACGGTCTCCGGCGAAAAATATAAGCCTACTCGACACCAACCTGACTTCTACCAAACCCCAACCCGATGTTGGCCCGACATTGACCCGACATAAACACAGAATTGACCCGACATCGACCCGACATTTGGCCGATGTCGACCATAAATTGACCTTACATTGATCCGACATCGGGCCGACATATCTGTTCGGGATCATTCTTCTGGGTTTCTTCCATACTCCACTGCCGTATATCAATTGTATATAATGTCTCGTGACAGCCTTTTCGTGACAGCCACTTGGGTAAGCTGAGGGATGTCGTCGGTTTGTGAAGGCTGTTATGACGACAGAAACATTGAGAACCTGGTCATAAAGAAATGCATAAATACAGCCCATTCGGTTCACTACGTTCCAAGCACGATGATTTTAGCAAAGCGGGTATAGATGCGACTGTTCTAATACAGCTTTCATTCGTTCGTGTGTGCGCTGTTACCAATACACTTCGAATTCAGATCTGAACGTACGGTAGCAAGCGGTAGTAAAGCACACAAAGCAACAGTCAATTCAGGTATAAACCAACTGTCGCGAGGAGGCTGTACTTTTTGGAAGCCTGCCAGCAACGTGATAGCCAACATCATGCCGAACAATGCTGGTCCAAGCAGCAGCAAGAGGCGTCTTCTGGCTAGTGTGTCCTCATCGATAAGGTACGGAGGTCCAATCTGGATTGGCGCTGAAAACGAAGCAGAACAAAAGGAAATTGAGCAGTACGATGCGGCTCATGGCCATGCGAGTCGTGAGTGCGTACAGAATCATTTCGACGGATGCAGTATGCGTTATCGCCGGTATGATCCCTATCGGTATCACCCTGGCGGAGGACAACGAGTGCTATATGAGGAGAGAAACCAGAGGAGTTCGAAAAGTGGTGTGAACGGTGTCGATGGTTAGTGGCAGCAGGAGTAGGATGCAGCGGAGAACGGTAGATGGACACACAGGCTAATACCGACTCTTTCGACCTGGGTGAACAGGAAACATGGAGTAGTCAACTTCCATTTGACGCTGTTCCTGTCTGGTCATGGCTGCTCCAGGAAGGACCTGCATCGGGTCGGACACACATCGTCACCCTTCTACCCGGAGTGTGGTAATGTGGAAGAATCACCAGAGCACATGGTCTTCGAATGCCCTAGATTTGATGCTGTGCTAGAGGAGATGCTCGCCCTTAGCGCGGAGAATGTCGTCGAAGAAATGTGTCAAGAGGAGGGCACCTGGAATGCCGTCAGCAGAGCAGTAACGCAGATCACGTTAGCGCTGCAGCGAAAATGGCGAGAACAGCAGCTAGAAAGTAGTAATGTGCTTACATAAGCGAGAAGTGAATGACGGAGCCGGGAGAACCTCCACCTCTAGGGAACTCTCCGTCGGAGTAGGCTGAATCTACCGCCGGGGGCTAGCTGAGTAAAACGCGACTACGCTGGGAGCTTAATGGCTCCCAAACTGGAGAGCCGATCAGCGAACTAGAAGCTGAGGTAAAGTGAGATGCGTAATTCACAGCCCCTCCGAAGTAATATGCCAAATGTTCCCGGAGGAATAAGGGGAAAGTTGTCCAAGGAGGTTTTAGTGCGTCAAGAATCCCACACACCGTGTCACCGCGACCTTGCAGCCGGTCAGCTAACAAGCAAGCGGTGGCATGACGGCATTTTGGAAGGTTTCCTTCTAGCAAAAAAAGTCATCAACCGCCTAAGGAATTTTTTGATAGATCTACGCTCTTACCAGACAGCCAACACCTCTAAGTTTCATCAACAGGTCTTCGGTCTGGCAGAACACCAGCTATCTGACAGGTAACAAGACAATTGTAAGCCTGGCCGAAGATGCCAGTGATACTACGCCCCTAGTTTTGTGCAACATATTGGTTCCAGTTCTCAAACATCTGTGACTCCATTTTCACCAAGTTAGCTGACCAGTCATTCAATGTTTCTGGGATTCTTGGTCAAGCATAGAACGCGCAAAAAATGGTCAACTTCAAATTGGTGTATTTCTGTTAAAAATGCCTGAAATGCTGGATTTGGAAGTTGAGTGTATAAACAATGGTTGCTCTGATGAGTTTTCACCGTTTGCTCTCCAGTTTTCAAAATTA